TGCGCGTGTGTGAGGGTGTGTGTGTGTGTGTGTGTGTGTGGGTGGGTGGGTGTGTGTGTGCGCGTGCGTGGGTGTGTGTGTGTGTGTGCGTGTGTGTGCGTGTGTGTGTGTGCGTGTGTGCGCGTGTGTGCGCGTGTGTGCGCGTGTGTGCGGGTGTGGGTGGGTGGGTGTGTGTGTGTGTGTGTGTTTGGGTGTGTGTGTGTGTGTTTGTTTGTTTGTTTGTTTGTTTTTGTTTCTGTGCGTTTGTGTGTGTTTGTGTGTGTTTGTGTGTGTGTGTGTGTTTGTGTTTGGGTGTGTGTGCGTGATTGTGTGTGTTTTTTTTTTTTGTGTGTGTGTGTGTGTTTAGTTGCCTGCGTGCGCGCGTGCGTGTGCGCATGCGTGCGCGCAGGTCGTACCGTCAGCATGGGTGTAAAACGCAGCACTTCAGATAGTGTCTGCTTGCAGTCTTTTATCGCACAGATAGCAAGCATTATGCCATACACCATGCAACACAACAGGCAACGGCGCAGTGTTGGCAGTCTTTGACACGGTTTACATGTCAGGAAAGCCTTGTCTTGCTAGGTCTGACTACCAAGCTTTTTGCTTGCATGTTAGTTAGGTTATGTCGTACGCAGGTATTCGCATCAGTTTTTTGATCTGCTGACATGCTCGCTTGCAGGTCTATAAGTCTATAAGTCTTCGAACGACATGGGTGGAGCTATAGGGGAGTGTGATGTTATTGACTTCATTTGAAGGTGTAGCTGACATGGTTCGCAATACCTGTCAATACCTGGCATAGTGCAAAAAATGGTCTTGTGGTTGCAACATACAGAATCGAAGCGACCTTGTCTGACAGTAGAAGCATTTCAGCCAGTTTGGACGTGGGACGTTTAGACAAACGTCCAAGTGCGTGCATGATACTTGACAACAACATTTGTTATTTTGTGTCTGTATGTATATATAATTATACAGACACACACGTATCTATATCATATCTGCACACACACACGCACAAGGACAACCGCGTGCATGTGTGCACATTTTGATAGATAGCTAGGTAGATAGATAGATAGATAGATAGATAGATAGACAGATAAATATAAATAGACAGATAGACAGATAGGATAGGTAGATAGATAAACAGATGGATATGGTGTCTACATGCATGTCTGTCTATGCGGTTATACAGACGTACAAAAAAGCGCAGCCTCTTTTTACACGCTCGTACGAACATCTTGTTACATTCATCTAAGCACGTACTACATGACTCCTCGCACCTGCTGCACTTCGGCTCCAAAAAGGTTCTGAAAAAATCTCTACAATCCGACCCGAGAGCTCTTAGTTTTGCGCGCAACAACATGGCAACCACCAAGGCAGGGACGTGGCGTCTGCTTTTGTCTTCAGGGGGAATCAAGGGGGGGTTAGCAGAACTGCTAGCTTAGTTACTAGAAGGGTTCTTTTTGGTGGTTTCGGTTTTTTTGGGGGTGTGCTATAGGGTTTAAGGTTCAGGATTCAGGGTTGGTGTTACAGAGGTGCCCAACCAAGAATAGACACTGTCACTACTTATAGGGTTTAAGGATCAGGATTCCTGTTCATGCGTTCCCAGGAACAACTAATTGAGTTACTAACAGGGCGGCATGTTGATTCCGAAACCTGCAGCTCTCTATTTGTTCAGAGACGTGGATCATGCGTAGGCTTAGCACTTTGTGGTTCGTGTGGTTCCTCTGCTGCCAGGAAGAGGATGTCCAAATGATGCTCGTTCCTTTCCCGATCAAGACGCGCATGGCATGACTCCGACAGTGTGCAGTGAAAGTGTCTGTGAGTTTGCCGATCTGATCCGCTGTCTGCGTCTGTCGGCAAAACAGTGGTAAAACGCTTTCACCTGCAGCCGAGGTTTGCAAGACCCACCTGGGCACTCGCAATGTTGACTTCCGCATGAAGCGCTACGTGTTCCGCCGCACGGTGGACGGTATCCACATCATCCACCTCGGAAAGACCTGGGAGAAGCCGCTTTGCTGAGTTGTTTCGGGTTTAGCCTGTGTTGATCTTGGTTGTTGCATCCACGCCTTGCGGTTGTTTACGAGCTATAGAGGCCTTGTTTCAACCTCCTGCTGCCGACTCATGTTTCAATTCCTCTTCTCGCGAGCTGCCTTAGCCCTTGTATTGGCTTCGGAAGCACATGCACAGGCTGATGGTGGCAGCCCGCATGATCGTTGCCATCGAGAACCCTCAGGACCACCATCCAGAAAAGAAATAAGAAATATAAATTTGGATGTCTGATTTCTTTTTTTGGCTCGAGAAAGTTTTGCAATAAATCGACGAGAATTTCATATTTCGATAGAGACAACTAGCAGATGATAAGATTCTCATATTTGGTCGATTAAATAGATTTCGGATTCTTGCAATAGTTGGCTGTAAATCCTGGCTAGGGCACGCCTGAAAGCCTGTTGATTCAAGCAGAGCGCGCAAGTACCAAATGATGCCAAGAAGCTTTCCGGTTGCGTGCCCCTCATGTGCAGAAGGGCTGGTGCAGCTCCCCAGACCCCTCTCACGCCCTGTTTGCGATTCCTCTGTTCCTACCTAGCATCGTCACTCCAGTGACACCGGGGATGCTCTCCAAAGTTTCGTCCTTTAGGACGCGAGTGTTGAATTAAGGACTCCTACGTAATTAAAAAGCCCCAGGAGCCCAAAGGCCTCGATCTCTAAAGCCGGTGCTCTGAAGCCGTACAGCCGGTAAAGCCCTGCACCCGACGCCTCCCTGAGGACATCATCGTGGCCTCCCAGCGACCCTACGGCTCTCGCGCCGTCCTCAAGTTCAGCCAGTCCGGAGCCTTAGTTTCGTGTCCATCGCACTGGCCGGCTTCATCGCAGGCATTTGGGCCAAACCGATGCTGCCATGCTGTCGTACGGAGGTACACAGGTGCCAACCCCTTGGCTGGACGCTGGACTCCCGGCACCTTGACCAACCAGCCCCTCAGATGCAGAGATTACAGAAAGCGCCACCTTCAACCCTAAAGCCGCTGTCCTGCTGTCCCTGCCAGAAAGATTCAACCAAATTCTGCCGTTGTGCATCACAAGCAAGGATCACTCAGAAGTACTTGGAACCCCGCCTCCTCATTGTGACGGACTGCCTTTGGGTTGGGGTTGATGGGCTGGTCGGTAACTACTCGTACTGGCCGTTCTCCCTGAGCAGCTACAACAAACGCCTCCCTGCCAGGACCCGCGCACGGACAACCAGGCGATCAAGGAGGCGGCATATGCCAGCATTCCGGTGCCTTGGAGAGTGTCTACTTGTTAGTGGAAGGTCTCTGGCCCACAAGATAAAGGGTCTAGGAGTTTTAGGGGCTGGAGGCTTTAGGGTCTTGGCAAGATGAACTGAGGTTATTGCCCTCTGTGACACTGACTCCCCTTTGGAGAACGTGGACGTTGCCATCCCTGCCAACAACAAGGGCAAGGACGGAATCCTCCTTGGAAGGCATACCTTGGCATGTTGGTGTCGGGTGTTGCCTCTCCGGCTACTGATTCGGCATGCAGGGCATGTGTCGCAGCAGGAAATAGTTGCAGATACAGGCTATTCTCGCAGACAGATGGATATCGGGATGGTTAGATGGCTAACAAGACAGAAAGACAGTCAGGCAGGCAGGCAGACAGAAAGATAAACAGACAGACAAGCAGATAGATACGTTGATAGATCGTTGGATAGATAGATCGATAGACAGATACGAAGATAGACAGATAGACATATAGATAGGTAATAGGTAAGTAGGCGGCTAGGTCGGTAGGTAGGCAGGTAGGCAGGGCAGGCAGGCAGGCAGGCAGGCAGGCAGGCAGGCAGGCAGGCAGGTAGGTAGGTAGGTAGGTAGGTTGGTGGGTAGGCATGCGTACATACACATAACATCCAAATGAAGCTGTGGTTAACTTGTGTGGAAGACTGTGTCTTTTGTGAATGCACTGGTGCCGAAATATGCGGGATACGTACACGTGGAGCGAGCGACTGGCGGGTGTGTGCAGGTGCACGATGTGCAAAGTGTTATACTGCGGATATGCCCTCGCATATAGCCATTCGCCGAGGTGCAAAGGGTCCATGTGTAGAAATATGTGTGTATACATGCGTGTGTGTGTATATATATATATTCACATGTACACCTATATGTGATACTGTACTTACTCATATGTACTTGTATACTTATCTGCTCAGGTTCTTAATCACTTGTTTGTTTGTTTCCCGAACCATACATTATTCGCTCATTCATGCCAGCAGGGACGGTGCTTGGACGCACATGTGTTTTCTGTTTTTTGGAGACTGAGTGAGTGAGTCAGTGAGAGAGTGAGTGAGTGAGTGAGCGAGAGCGAGAGCGAGAGCGAGAGCGAGAGCGAGAAAGAGAGAGAGAGAGAGAGAGAGAGAGAGAGAAAGAAAGAGAGAGAGAGTGTGTGTGAGAGAGAGAGAAGGAGGATTGCAGAAGGGCAGGCCCTCGGGCCAGGGTCAAGCAACCAAGCAAGAGCTTTTTTTTTTGTGTGTGTGTGTGTGTCTCTGTGAGGGCGTCTGCGCTCTCTGGTTGTCTGTCTGTCTGTCTGTCTGTCTGTCTGTCTGTCTGTTTGTCTTTGTTTGTGTGGGGCTGGCATGTCTGGCGGCTGGAGTGTCTTGCGTACGCACTGCTGTTATTGGGGGGACTGCTGCCGGAGCAACGATGATGTTGAAGCCTTGCTCTTCCTCAAAGATTTGTTCATGCAAGTCAGCCCCGGAAACCTGGTAGCCGCATCCTGTTCTGATGACATGAGACTGTACACGACACGCACACATTCACGAGTCCCAAATCCATTCCGTGCAGCTCTTCTCGACGATCAACAGGAGTCCATCGCCTTGCTCTACTGGCTCCTGGCCAGGGAGGCCATGCACGTCGTCTCCGTCTTGGGATTCAGGGCTTCGACCGTCCGTGGCACTTCTTTAAAAGTTAATGTCAGACACGTATGCTTGTTCATCAAGACGGCAGGTCCTTTACCTGCGAGGAAGCATGCCTCGCACGCAGCCGTGGGACGTGATGGTGGACTCGTGCTCGGGCAGCAGCTTCGGACACTCTTGATATACATCTTAGCTTGGCGAGTTCGTAGGATGTCGGCCGTCAATCAGCCTTCCAGGTTCTTCTGGCGTGACCCAGAGGAGATCATGCAGCAGGAGGCAGGTTCTGCCACATTTTGAGGTCAAGGGCGGAGAATTGCGACATAGATGCCTTATGCAAGGATGGCGAGCCGAGCCCTACACCCCATCCCCTTGAAATGATTCGCCAACTCCAGAGACCCGAAGCTTTTCAATCCCTCGAAAGATCAGCCCTTCAGGAATTGAGAGAAAGACGACTAAGAATCCCTTCAACACGCCTTGCAAGACCCGAAGCTTCCGATGTGCAACCCAGCTGGTGCAGGAGCCGGCAGCACCGCAGCAGGCCAAAGCTACAAGAACGAGCTTGCTGTAGACTTATGTTTATGACTGCTGATGCTCGATGTTGGCCATTAGTATGATTAGACAGGGAAATCACATGGTACATACTGTAAGGCTATGGAAATAAGAATTGGTGAAGCTACCGCCATGCGGTAGCATCCTGTGATATAGCTATAGTCTAATGCACTACACTTGCATGCACGAGACTATAGGGACACGAGAAGCGCAGAGCAACACAGCACGTGTTGGTGAGACATCATAGTCAGCAACATCACCTCGAACTAATACACTCAAGGCAGCAGTGCGGCGGTGCAGCCGTAAGTATCGTCACACTATTACATTAATCACGACTGCGACATGATGTAGAGCTCACACACAGTCGTGATTAGATACATCATAGGGGAGTGAAAAGCTCCTTCGTTAGCACGAAGAGCGGAACCTGCATCTCTGGTAAATAAAATTGACGACACCATAAACTGTGCTATTCCTGTGTGTGTGCGTGTCTACGGCACTTATTCAGCGTTGAGCGTTCTCATTCGTGGACTTTCACCGGTTTCTTTTTCGGTTTGCAACACTCATCTCGAGTCTTACAGTACCATTGCCTGCTGTTGCTTAGTCACCTGCGTGGTGATCTTAAGGAAGCTCTCACTGTTTGTCCTAGGGCTGCCCATAGCTCAGCCAGTACGGCGTCATTTCTCAACAACCAGCTACTGTGCTACTGTTGCGGCTACGGGTTACGATTCCTACAGCTATTATCGGCTGCTGGTACTCGAATGGAGCATGGAGCCTAAATTGGCCTTGCCGTGTGCTAGTTAGGTTTCAGCACCGAGGTTGTTGAGCGACCTCCTGTGATCTCGCGGCATGAACCCTGAAGATGACCCGAAGATCAGCTTGGGGTTGGATGCTTTTGAGCCACGGGCGGTTCTTTCGGTTTCCTCTCGTACTTGTGCCTGCTGGGCAACCAAGATGACAACGAAAGGGAATCCAATTGTTCAGCGAGGCCAAGACACGATGCCCAAAAAAACTGCCACGACTAACCTGCCGAAATGCTGAGTTTTCTTGCCCCTCCCGAAAGCAGCAGGAATGGGCCGCCCCGGCACAGGCCTGGGAGGGCGCAGGCGGGTCATACATGTGTGTTTGTGCATGCTACTCTCTGTGACAAGCCTACAAGCATGCTTTAGGGGCTTTAGTGGCTTTTTGAGCTTGTCGGAGACATGTGGCCGCAAAGGGGTGAAGGTGCCTCCAATGTGACAGGAGGAAGTGTGGACGCGTGCTTCGTGTTCTTTGGGCGAATGGCTCTTCACGGCTCTTTCTACAAGCTCGTGAGATCTTGGTTAAGAGTTCTTACTTGTTCCGGTTTTTCAGTGGGAATTTGTGGGAGACTTGGAACCTAGTCGCCACGGGCTCCATCTCTAAGTTGTTGGTTCTTCCAGCTACTCCACCGAAGCTGCCAAAGCTGTGCAGTAGAGTAGAAGCCAGAAAGTTGGAACATGGGTTCAGGATGATTGGAGCTGGGATTCCCCAGCATCCTGTATCCCACATTCCGAGAGGCACGGCAAAGTCCTCTGCTACCTCAAGATCCGAAAAACTCGGAATCAATCCCATGTTTGAAGCTCAAGAAGCTCACCGCGAGGTGGTGGTGGCAACTGGGATGACATGACCAACGCGGCCGCTGGCGATGCCTCCTGGGATGCTCCCGCAGGCTTCTCTAGGGTTCTTGTCACGGGGGTCTGTTGTCTTAGGCGGTTGGCGGATGTGGACACGATGTTGATCTTGTTGATGCTGGCGTGTTTACACTGCCTAATCGTTTACGAGTTCTCGGGCTTTTTCCAGGGTTTTGAATTGGCAGTTCTCACTTTGTTATTCGGGTGATAGTCCTTTTGTAGCGGCTTTAGAAGTTTCTTCGACTGCTACGACTGCTGCTGCTACCGCTGCTACTCTTGCTGCTGCGACAACCGACGTCCCACTGCAGGTGTTGTCTACCTTTGGTATTGGATGAGGCCAAGGCGACCTAATATGAGGGCTATATCCTGAGCGGAATGATGTCGGTGGTTGTCACAGCAATGAGGGCGCGGAGTTGGAAATGGACGAGGAGGAGGATCCGGAGGAGGAGGAGGAGGAGAGGAGGAGGAGGCGGAGGAGGAGGAGGAGAGGAGGAGGACGACGACATTCGCTTCTGTTCCGTGATCGTCTGTTCGCCGTGGGAGGACGATCAGTGTTTCCGCAGCGAGTGTCTTGAAGATTTCTAAAACTTCGGTGGTGTTGATATCGGTGGAGACTTTCAGCACTTTGCATGGCAGTTTTCCATGCTGGTCCTTTTCGCGCTCATCCTTTCGCCAGCTTAGTATTGCAAAGAAACTAAAGCTGCTCGGCCTTTGCTACGACTGGACTTGATCGTCTCCTGGATTGCCTCTCCCAGTCCATGATCACTTGTGCGAGTTGGTATTTTTCTGTTGCTCAATGTTGTTCGTAACGGGAAATTAAGTAATCATTCATCTCAATTCATCTCTTCGTTATTAACTGAACGGATAGTCTCAGCATGGTGGCGGCTCCCGATGCTACTGCTGCTGCTGCTGCTGCTACCATGCCGTGCAAGTCGACGGGGAGTCCTCAGAATGCAGGCAACTCAACCCAGGACGACCCAAAACTCTCCAATCTAGGGGCCTTAATAGTTAGAGCAGGGTTCGGGGGTACATTATACTATAGTTATTATAAGGAACCCCCAACTCCTTACATGTCTAATTACTAAGGCCCCTTCATTTAAAGCCAGGTGGTGGTGACGACTGGAGCGCCCCCCAGCAGGCGCAAGGCGGTGGCGGCTGGTGAGCCGAGAAGATTCGGATGGCACCTTCGGTCGGATGAGAGAAAAAGAGCGCTCTGTCAGATTCTTTGACTTTGCATCCTTGGAAGCCCTGGGTTTTGCTGTAGGGGCCTTAGTATTTAGTTAGAAATAGGGTTTGGGGGGGGCTCCTTCTCATAGTTACAGTATAATATACCGCCAAATTAAAGCCTGTTCGAATAACTCTTTAGCCACCTCCTCTCCTGCGGCTAGGTTTTCTGCGACTTGTCACAGTTGCCGGGCACGCTGAACTGCCGAAGCTTCCCGTTGTACCAAAGTCTCCAAAGCAAGGTAGGCCGTCATAACACAGGTGAGACCTTGGGCACAGCCTTTTCCACGCTCTGCCAGGTCAGCCTCGCTGCTGGAAGAGGCGGGCAAGTTTGGGCTTGAGATTCGCGGTTTTCTTGCGAAGTGCTTCATGGACAAGATTTTCCACCCCGATACAGAAAGCATCACACATCGCATCATGACCCTCGGCTGATTGTCCAGAATCGCCATACTTTTGCAGCCGAAACGCGCTCGCGGAAAGGCACCCTGCAAAAGACCCTCTGTTGCGCGGCCAGGTGCACGCATCTAGATCCTCTAGTCGTGCACGACCTTGCTTTTTTTCGGCTCAGCAGCTCGTTTTGCAGCAAGTCGCACAAGACTTGGAGAGGACGCAGGCATGCATCTAGATGTCAGTTGGAAGACCCGAACAGAAAGCACAGTAGACTGTACAGTATATAATGTATATACTCTTTCAACTACAATAGACAGTATAGTAAGACAGAAACTTTAATGTTCTATCTACAAACTGCAACGTTTTGGGTCTACTATATGATATATTACATAACTTCTTGTTGGGAGTCTATAGGCCAGGATGAGCTGGCATGGGGGCTTCGTGTCCTCTGGGTTAGTTGCCCTGCGGGCCATTTTGGCTTCCCGGTGCCTTTTCGAAGGGCACGGCAGCTTCGCTTCCGTCTATGTCCCAGAGCAGCAAGGGCTCTTCGGAAACACCACTTTGCTTGAAATCCTCGAAGCAGCGAAGGCACGGCCCGGGCAGAAGCAAGAGTGCAGCGACGCGCGACCCCGGGTGGTTGTGACTCTGTCTACCTTTGAGGGGAGACTTGGTAATCTCAAGATGGCACTGCAGTCGCTGGCAGTTCAAAGCTGCACGCCCGACGCCATTTACGTGTTCGTTTCGCAGAATCCTTTCACCAAGTCTCAGCTTGCAGGCGGTAATGATGGCGATGGAATCGTCGGAGACGATGCGTTTTGGGAAGACATCGCTAAGATTCACAGTAGCATCATTGTGAAGCACATCAGCGACGACTGGGGGCCGGCTACAAAGTTGCTTGCAGCTCTGCAAGTTGAAAGAGATCCCAGCACATGGCTCATTACAGTGGACGATGACACAAAGTACCATGTGGACACAGTTCTGGCGTTAGTCCTGGCGGCGATGAACCTCCCATGGAACAGCTCCCCTGCTTTCTGGTGCGAGGAGGCTTGGGCTGATGGTTACCGAAGTCTGAAGAAGAGGACTATGAATCGGGGTGAAGAGGGCACTGTGCATGGATGGTGTGGAGGATTTGCTGGCGTTCTTTTCAAGAGGTTTATGCTCGGTGACCATGTCTTCAATTTCAGCCGGGCCCCCGTCGGATGCCGATCTCATGATGACGTTTGGTGGGGTCGCCATCTACTCAGCGCAGGAAACACTCCCTACCTGATAGATCCAGGATTCTTCTCTGTGGAGTGGTCTCCAACGTCATCCTCCGAGAGGCAGAGATTCAGTGTTCATGTCTTGGACGGCATGGCTAGAACGTCTGGGAGCGATCTTCAAAGTGAGTGTCTCGTCCTTCCGCAGCAATTCTTCAGGCCTTTCTAGAAATCCTTTCAGAAAAGCTGCACTTGTCCCCCTGTCGTCGGTTATCAGACCCAGGTGCGCTTCTTGGTTTGCCGCCCTCCGGGGTGTCCACCTGGATGGCTTTGAGGACGATGATGTCTTCAGGCATCCTGAGGCCACCTCCCAGAACGCCCAAGACCTATCCATCCTCAAGCAGTTCTTCTCCAGTAAGAAGGGCATGCGACCCAGTGGAACATTTGTGGAATTCGGTGCTCTGGATGGGATCGCTCACTCCAACACAAACTTCTTCGAAGCTGCCTTAGGTTGGTCTGGAGCACTTGCGGAGCCGTCTCACTACGCCGATGAGCTCAGAAAGAACCGACCAGGCAGTTTCGCGCTGCACGGAGCGATCTGCGGAAAGTCGGGCCTGAGAAATTTCGTAGACGCAGATTGGCCCGGCGTCTCTGGGTTTAAGGATGCACTCGACCCAGCCTTCCTTGAGGACATGAAGCAAGGCCGCACATGGTTCAACATCACCATCCATCAGCTCAAGTGCCACACTCTCCAGGAGTTCCTTGACTTAGCAAAGCTTCGGCATGTTGACTACATGTCCGTGGATACGGAGGGCAGCGAGATGGAGATTCTCAGTACCTTTCCCTTCGACCAGTACCAGATCGACACGATCCAAGTGGAGTCGAAATGGAACAGTTGCATCGTCATACGAGATGGATTTATGTCGCGTGCCGACGTTTGGAACTATTGGTGTTACCATCAAGAAGGTCCACAGAAGCTTATCCAGCTCATGACCTCTAAAGGCTACTCGCTGGCACGGACACATGTTGTCAGCTTGAGTGACGGACTCATCCGAACCAGTATGCACCATTTCTGGCGGCCATTTCACATAACAGGAGAAATGACTGTTGATCTCGTTTTCCGGTTAGGCTGAGCTGATTTGCATGGGTGTTTTTTTCCAATCTATCGTGATTTCAGCTTTTGTGCATTGCTTTGTCTCCTTCTTCTTTGAGGCTACGCAGAAAGGTACAAAAAGTCACACAGAGCGGCTGCCACGAACACCCACCCACACGAGGTGGACGAATGAATGGTGACCCGAGGCCGAAACGAAGGCCGTTGAAAACAGTTTCGATGTGGTTCGCCGACTCCCGAAAGGAGCTGGCAGTTTACGGGGTCCTAAGATGCAAGGTTCCTAAACTGCCGGAGTTCCCAACCCATGAAGAGCAACCCCAAAAAACAAAGACACCGGGTCCAGAGGCCCTGGATTCTCGGGCTTCATCGACCCCAAGCCCCCAAAATCCCCACACACTTGTATCGCAAGCGACCTGCAGCATGTTCATGGCTTGGCCCGGCAGCATTAAGGGCAGAGTTCCTGAGCCACGTCCGTATCCATACAGCCCAAAAATGCACCTTCGGTCTGTTGAACCTGCATGCAAACGTGAACCTTGTATGAGGCTCCTCAACAGAAGACCTATAGCTATTGTGCCATGGAGTTTTGGTCCATGGCTTCCGGATTCTGCTCCCATGGAGTTTGACCCTAGAAGCAGCCTAAGCCCCGAACCTTCAAGATCTTCCTCCAGGAGGCCCCCTCCTGGATCCTAGGCACCCCGGAGGTTTTCCCGAGTTTCGTCAAGTGCATGGTAGAGCGTATGCCAAAGGAAGAAGGTAAGCGAAGCTCCAAAAGCAGGAGGCGAGGGGGCATAGCAGCTGCGGCGGTGGCTGCCAGTCGTGTGAGTTCGAAAATGAGTGGAGCAAGGTTCTTGTAATATGTTCGTCAACCTGGGGGTGAGGCTGCGCCCCCCGCGGTTCGGCATCATCGTCCTCAGCGGCAGCACCTCCCCCACCATCACCGCCCACCACCAGCACCATCTCGATCGCCATGGTCACATCGGCATTGGCATCTGGCAATGCCGCAAGATTCATTGAGAGGTCCGATCAAGGTAGCACCAAAGAAAGAGTCCAAGGGAAGACTTGGAGGCTTGGATTTTCTTTAAGCATGGTTTGCCAAGCGGGCTGCAGACCGTTGTAATGTACCAATAATCACATGCACTCGTCACTAGCACTGCAGGCGTTTGGGCATCTACGAGAAATCAGAAAGGATGCAGCAACAGCTAGGCAGTCACGCTTTCAGTAAAGGGATTCACTGGACTCGTTCTTCCCTGAGTGATGATGGTTTTGGGACGTGACATGCAGCACTTGTGTGGAGGCCGACTGCTACATACTGTAACAGCAGTGTGCATACCTTGTCGTCCACAAGAGAGGACTTCCACAGACAGATGCGGAGCTCATTGTCATTTTTAGGTGGCAACCTTTGCGCAAGACAAGTCTGCATGCTGCCCCGTTGTCGGTCCAAGCTTCAGCTCGTGTTTCCATTGTGCCAAATGAAAGGCGAGTATGACGACACAATACAGAGTGCACTGGCCTCTGCTTGCGGAATACGGCTGAAAGTTTGCTGCCGGAGGATTCTCTGCGGGAGGCTGCGCGTGAGGCACGCAGCTCAGCTTGCCGGGCTGTTGTTGCTGCTGTACGTCCTGTTCACGTGGCCTCATTTTCCGGGGCCAAGTAGCCACAGCAATTTGTCGCCAGAGTGCGAAAGCAACGGCAGTGACTGGAACGCAGAGTGGGACATGTCCAGCCCAGGCACTGAAGCGACGCTCGAAGCCTGCGCACTTATCTACCCCATGTCTCATTCCGAATTGGAAGATGCGGTTCCTCAACTCAAGTCCTGTGTTGTCACCACGTACGCCGCACATTTCCAGCGGGTTATGGAGCAGACGACTTGCCGCGCCAAGAGTCTCGAGGATGCTGACATCATCTGGATGCCTGCATACTTTGGCTGTAACTGCAATTGGCCAACCTACGACGGCGGCAGGTGCGAGTCAACCGGGAATGCTGTCCGTCTCGGAAATAAGTGTGTGGAGGAGGTGTTGCTCGGGGTGGACTACATCCTTGCAGAAGTGTGGAAAACTCGAAGCCACAAGCAGCCACGTGTGGTGATTCTGGACGACAATGGCCACGAAGCTCCGGACTGTTGCAACTACTTTAGCATTCCACCTGGGCTTTGGCAAGGCCAGCCCTGCTTCAACACTCACTTCCTGCCCGCTGAACACTATGCGCGGCCCGAGCTCCTTTGGGCATTCCGTGGTGCGACCTGGCCAATGTACCGCAAAGGGATTGACATCGCCTTGCCCTCGCCACCCCACGCTGCGGCCTCTTGGCCGCCAGCCAGCAGCCCTCTGAAGTCACGGAAATACTTTGCAACCTTCAAAGGGAAGCTGCTGATGCATCCGATACGGGTCTACACGCACAGGCATTTCCACAACAAGACTTATGAGGGCAAAAAAGTGGTGATAGCAGAGCGCATGACCGACGAGTTTGTCAAGGGTTACGGCGAGGTACTGCACGAAACGGTCTTTTCACTACTGCTGCGAGGGGACACTCACTCGACTCACCGGTGGAACGACGTGGTCTGCTCAGGCTCAGTTCCGGTTCTCGTTACGGACTACATGATTCCACCGTACAACGAGTTGGTTCCTTTTGAATCGTATGGCGTTTTCGTGCGAGAGAGTCACATTGACAGCATCTGGGTGGAAGCTTTAGTTGCCCCACATTAGGCGTGCTTTTTTGAACTTAAGATTACAAGAGTCTTCCAGAAAGAAACAGTTAGCCCAGAGTCTTGAACCTTTAAACCTTGGCTCCTAAACATCCCTGAACCCTATATAATCCTGTACCCTAAATCCCAAGACCTTCGCTTCGCAGAAGTCTCGAGGACTCATGGACATCCTCCAAGCTGTCAGCGAGGAGGAGCGGGAGGCCAAGCGCGCTGCTTCGCTGCGCCGCCCAGACGAGTTGGTTCATGATGAAGAGGGGCTAGGGGGGAGCCCAAGGCTTGCAAGGACATAGTAGGAGGCAAGTAGGACCAAACAGGCCCCACTATGTAGGTTATGATCCGAAGTACTACAGGTCCAGGTCTAACCGGGTCTCGAGGAAGGGCGGAGGCTTTCTTCAGGTTCTTCATCCATGGGTTGTGAGCAGTTTCAAACCGAGGGCGTGGAAGGTTTCAACGTGTTCCTTCAACCCCAGGGGCCTGCCGGAGCTTCTTTCAGACGGTGGAAGTCCAGGCACGTCGGGCACAGATTCGCGACCACCGCTACCACTGCGACTACCACCATTATTCCCACCACTATCCGTATCCCTAAATGCCCTAAATGCCCCCCCCCCCCAAGTCCCTGGTCCTGCCCAGCGGAGGCCTTGTCCCTGCGAAGGCTGCTCGAGGCCCCACTGCCGCGACAGCGGAGAAATCAAAAAGGGAATCTTAAGTCTTCTTGTGTTCAAGGACTTCCAAGTAGGGTTTAGGCTTTAGGTCATTGAGCGACATTTCCAGCAAGGTTCACTTTGTGACGATACGCTCTGAATAGTACATGGGCTAACTCGGCAGTTAACACAGGTAAACATGTGATGATTTGTGCCGTCTCCAACGCCTATGCTTCACAGATTCATAGATGGCGCCCACTTTGCAGACCATTTTGCCCGGAAAGGCTCACGAGAAGAAACCGCTTACCACAACCTACAGCCGCAAAATAACAAGGACAAATCCAAGAACCGGAAACCTGCGGCCCTCGACTTAGCCGGTTTAGGTTTGGGGCATATAGGTTTTAGGGCGGAATGGCGTTTGGCCTGCAACAGCAGGGATTATGACGACGTCATCCTTTTTCGGTAAGAGCCTGTCTCGTCTGGGCCCCTGAAACGACCCTATATCCCAAAGGACCCTAAATCCTACTTCCTCAAGACCCGGCAGTAACTTTTCGTGCTAGCTTCTTGCCGCTGTTTCTTAATGTGCAGGAATTCAGAAGCACCCAAAATACCAACCCCAAACCCTAGACCGGCATCTTTTATGGCAAGCGATAAACGAGTTGCGGTCTCCAGGCTGTTCGAACTTGAGGGTTTGACAGTTTAGGGTTTAGAGGATTTTACGCTTGAAGGTTTAGGGCCTGGGGTTGGCACAGTCATCAGGGCATATCAAGTCGATCTCGAGGTTCGACTGCGTGGGCTGTGTGTCAAGTGTTATTTTTCAGCCCCAAGAGGTGAAGTTGCTGCGGCATTGGCCCATGTTCCATCATCCAAGGGAAGCGCTGATGCCACGAGGGTAGACATGTTGAACTCACGAGAGGCGCACAGCAGCCGAGGGGCGCAACCCACACTGCCTGAAACAGTCCTGGGGTTTATGACGCCCAAGTATCCGAGACTTACGAGATGCCAGTTTGTTGCTTGCATTGCCGTGCCATGTCGTGATTTGGAAGCTGCTTTGCTTGTACTGCCCTCAGCTTTGCACACTGGCATGCTGGCATGAGATGACATCCAGGTCGTGCCAAGCGCCTTTTCAACTTGGATGTAGCATTCATCCTGGCATGTAAACATGTAGGCTGGCTTCATTTACGTCAGGACCGGCGGTCCAAACTGGAGCTTTCTGAAGAAGGAAATGCATTCAAACATCCCTCCAAAAGGCACAAGACTGGCAACTGGACAGTTTTCCCTGAAAGAAAATGTCTTGAGCGCCTGAGATGACGCTGTTCAGAGGCTACCCGCCAAAAAGTGTTGCAGGTGAAGGTTAATTCAAACTCTGCTACGCCTCGTTTTTGGATGCGGGGTTCCTCATTGATTATTCCAGGGGCCTTCTGAATTCTGGAATACCTTCAACTAAACCACAGCCCAAGAACGAACCACACAGGAACCCAGCCGGGCTCCTTTTGTGAGTGTGTTGAGTTTAGATGAAGCAAAACGAACCCTACCGTAGCATGTCGGGTATTCAAATTCATAGCCGCAGAGCCTCAGGATCTCCACAGCACCGGCGACCCCGAATTTGGTCGCACTGCTCTTTGCAAGTCCACATTTATGCTATGGAAAATAGTGCGAATCCAATAGTACTTAGCATGCCCTGGAACCTGACCCGACTCCTAAGCCCTGAGCTCTGATCGAGGATAGCCCAAATTTTTAGGCCTTTTTCTGAGCTCGCCAGGATGATCCTGGTTGGCGTTTGCCTACTGGGGCTGCTCGTTTGAAAAGGGGCCCTTGCAAAAGCAGCAGTAGCAGTCGTCGTAGTCTTGTCGTTGTGGGTGGTCGCAAGCGACATATGCGACATGCTCGTCATTCTTTCTGCTTTTTTTTTTTGTGTGTGTGTGTGTGTGTGTTTCGCAAGCAGTGACACTGCGAAATGCGAGGTGCTGGGCCGCCCTGTGTTTACATGGCTGCAGCCTGGAAGTTCGCAAGGAGAAGGCTCATTTGGGGAGCTGCTACCGTGGTGTCGTCCGGAGCCGATACTACGGGGTATGAGCAGGGAAGAGCATCAGGACCGACGTCATTTTTTCGGAATGCCAGTGATGAAAGAACCTGGGGAATGAGACTTTCCTATCGGATGAACAGAAGAAGCCATCCCTTCCTGCGAGAAGTTGCAGATGTGCCCGAAACCCTGCGCCCATACTCGCCTTCCGTTCCTTCCCAGCAATTGGCGCCTGAGTCCGAACTTCAGAGTGGCTTGGGGATTCTTGAACGGGACTAGCAAACGATCCTGTCTTTGAATACTTACATCTTATGCTGTCAAGGCGACACTTGAACCACATCGCCGCAACAAATTCTATGAACCCAGGAAGAAAGGACGACAACAGAAACCCAACCCCATCCTAAAAACCCCAAAGTTCGTTAGGAACCCTAAACCCGTCAAAAGTCCTAAACGGCCCAAACCCGTCCTAAACTTTGAGCGCCCTCCCTCCAGGCACGCTTGGAGCAGAAGATCGCGGAACTGCAAGGTGGGTGAATGGATAAAGCATGCGTTTTGAAATCCTTTATACTTATGCCCGAGGCCCAGCAGACACGGAAGTCTAAGGTTTGAGCTGCCAAACCCAAGCTCCAAGACCCGAACCTGCAGAAACCAAAGGAAGGCAACCTGTAAAGCCCAGGTGCAAGCCAGCGAGAAAGGCACATTCTGGGACACAAAGCGGTCTGTGGGACTGCAGGGAGTGCTGAGTTTCTGGGGCTTTTCAGGACTTGTAGAGTTGTAGAGATGTGGAATATTCCAGGGATCTTGAGGGTAGGACAATTTCGTGAGCAAACACCCGCTTGATGGCTTCAGTTGTCCAACATCTCGGTGCCCTCAAAGTACGATTAAGCCACAGACCCCTATACCCTAAACCCCAATACCCTGAAGGTACGGATCTGGCCGAGGTGTGGTCCTCGTCGGCGGATCCAACCACCACGCGCCTCCGTTTCACACTTTTGGTCAACCAGCGCAGTGTGAGCAGCGAACCTCACCAGAAGAAGAAGCAACTACCTCTGACAAGCAGGAGAGGGGGCCCGGCCGATTAAGACTGTTGCGGAACAGTTGGGATCAGCATGCTTTTCGGTCCATGTACAAACAACATCTACATCCCATTGCTTCCCAGGTGAGCCAGCATACTCATTCGTATACCTTTGATGCTCTGCTTTGCGTGGCGAGCCTTCGCCGCACGGGCTCCTCTCTGCCTGTGGAGCTCTGGCACCAGGCCCATTGGCAAGAGCGTGAACCCACTTGCTTTGCCTATTCACTTTCCACGACAGGAAGTTATCCTGATACGTCTTTGAATTCAGTCGAATCTTGGATGGCGACGGCATGCAACAGTCTGTTCGATATCAGCTTCGGCAAGTGAGTAGGATCACAGCGACGTCAGACGCTGCACTTAATGTAGCACCACTAACAACTACCATGATGACCGTAGCGATGAATACATGAACAGCTCGAGCGGCCGCAGTGCCTCTGATGACGAGCATGCAGCTCAAAAAGAAGTTGAAAAGGCGAGGTCTGCCAAGCCAAGGCCACGAAAACTCTGTAGGACTTGACATTCACAGTAGCTTCTTCGGGTGCAGGATGTTGTGAGTTCACGCGTTCTAAACAGTCTTGCTCTTGCAAGTCCTAGACTCTGCGAGAGAAAGAAAGAGAGAGACAGAGAGAGAGAGAGGAGTTCAGGAACCAACATGGAAGAGGACCGACACAGTTTCAGCCTGATGGCTTAGGTCAGTGAGATCGTACGTTTGTCATCGTTCCTCATTCTACTATAATTAGCTCTAGCTCTTTGACGAACTACGATCGTTCTTCACTCCCCGAATACTCCAACAAAAATTTGGGGTGGGCATTTTGCCCGGGGGCTTTGACCGGTCCCCATGCCCCGGGGAGAGAGAGAGAGAGAGAGGAAAACAAAATGCATAGGTTAAGTAGGTTAAGTAGTGAGTTAGGGACCCGCAACCCTCTACTCTTGTGCGACCCCATAAGGATAAGCCCGAACTGTACCACAGTCTTGCCCTTTCAAACTGTCTTCGGATGCATTCCGGGCCAAATGCTCCCCGAAAAAATTAGGCGGGCCGTTACTACTGCCAGTAGGACGAAGAGTTTTACGAAGACAGAAACAGAAGCAACAGTATCGCAAAAGCAGATCTATATATAGCCGCATGAGCCATCGGCCGCAGACGAACGCCAAGCTAGTCTTGGCAACACACAGACTTGGAATCCACAGCCCACACCGGCCGACGTAAGGGTCGGGAGACTACCACGATCATCCGGACGTGCATTTGCAATATAATGATTGCTCAAAGATGCAGTGTTATAGTTGTGTCAGTTATGTTTGGTCTTGGCTACCAAGATTAGGTTTTCGGCCTGTCCACAGCCTAACACTCGAACCTTGTAAACGCTCGACGCGCGTGATCCAAAACTAGACACGAATTCCGACATGTGTGCTTGAATACCTAGGAAGCTCCAAATTTCTGCTAAGTGGTTCAACATCTTTCCAAGTCCTAAGTCCACCTTGCCAAGTTCGATTGTCGTGCCAGGGCGATGCACACTTGCTCTCGGCAAAGCTTCCGGAGAGCCTCATCTGGTTTGCGTGTTTTGGGGTTTGGTGGCATAGCTCGTGCGGTCGGGGCTTCAAGGTTTTACTTAGGGGGCTTGCCAGCTTGGAAGCTCAGGAGGCAGGGATTTCTGAGGCTTGAAGGTACAGGCTGATCCTCGCCAGTTCAGGTCCAGTGAATACCAGTCCGTTGAACTTACAACCTCAGGTGTGGTGCCGCAACATACCAGCCTTAAAACTGTGAGCCCGAAATACAGTCACAGGAGCCTTAGAATTAAACGCATTGTTTTGTGGATCCGGCACTTGTCCAGTAGAGTATGCTCCGCAAGCCCAGAAACTGATCTTGCTCATTGCGTCGTGCAGGCACGTTTTTCTCCGCGACTTCCGGGATGTGGCATCAGAGAACCTGCAGCTTGGAGAGATGCTTATGCGATATGTGAAAGGAGGTGTATACCTGCCGCTTCAACCTTAGTAGGCTATGCAGCCTGCTATGATGTGCAGTATAAGTCCCAGGTCGACTTCCAGTCGAAGGTTGCGCTGAGGCTTATAGCGGAGGTTCAAGTGAACGTGTATCCTCCCTATCCTCAGTTTCGAGCTTGCAACGTGATCTGAGTGATTCCCAAACCCGAAACCCTATGGACCGTTGAACCCTAGACCATACAACCTTGAGATTACCTTAAATGTACCTAACGTGAGAATACAGCTACCCTTGCTCGATCCAAATGTAAAATTCGCTTGCACTTCCGATTATAGCTGTACTATAATATCTACAGTGTTGTATAGTATGTGCCCAAACCCTAGTCTAGTTAATTATGAAGACCCCCTATAGTAGTTGCTTGTGTTGGCTCTTAGCCCCATTGACCTCAGGGAAGGATATGCGCTCCCTGCAGTGGCAATGCTCCACTCCAGCTTCGAGGAGCTCGGCAGCAGACCACCCACTTTAAGCCCTGTGAAGCCGACCAACTGCGATGCACCAGATGCCATTCACCCCCTAAAGTTTGCTTCACCATCCTCCTCCTCATCATCATCATGCAGCATGATCATCATCGCTGGCATGGTCACTGCCATCCTCACAGGAGCAGGGAGGAAACCGCAAGCAAAAAGGGAGCGGGAGGGCTCGAATGCCCCAAGCCTGAAGCAAAGGCAAACCCAAAGGATTGAAAGAGAGGAGAGAGTAAAGCTCTGAGCCCTAACGAACTCTGGTGAAGCGGGCAATTGCCGCGCATGAGCCGATAACGCAGTGAAAATTTGAGAATGGGCAAAGCTGGAAGCCGAAGTCCTGAACGGAGCAGGGCCCAACCCTCAAGGCATGGCCCATATCAGGAATGGGAAGCACGACCAGACTAGACCGGGGTGGGTGGCGGGGCCGACGCCGGCAACTTCAGGCCATGTCGCTTTAGGATGCCTGTGGCAACCCCTGGCTAGTGTCGGCTGATCAAGTGAGTTTCTGTCTTCAGCTAAAGCAGAGAGGCAGCACTGACCTCAGGTATGTAAGCTGCGATTATGTGCAAGATCCGTGGTATGTGTTATATGTGATGTCACGAAGAGAATCAGGGCTTGGGGTTGGCCACGTCATGGCGTTTGCCATGCTGCACCTCTCTGGTAGGAGTTTCTCTATCTGGATGCGGACAACACAGTCCTCCTCGACCCAGCACCCCTTTTCGAGATCTCTGCGTATACGACCCTGGGCGCAGTCTTCTGGCCAGACTTCCCGTCTTTCAGAACCTCGAATGCCAAAGACCAATTCAGGCACATGTCTCTCCGTCCGAGGTGGCTGCATTCGGAGGAAACACACCCCGAGTGGCAATCAAGATGCCAAAGAAGCTTACGTAGCATGGGTGGGTACTCTTTTCGGAGATGTTTTGTCCGGAGGCAGCAGCCTCTATGCCTGTTCGGCCGAGGAAGAGACAGCTTGATCTGGCGGATGACAGACCAGCAATACTACCCGCTGCAAGAGGTTGAGAACGGCCAGCTGCTGATCCACCGGAATAGGCATTTGGCGAAGCTGGAGCTGGCCTATTACTTCAGCATGAACAAGGACTCTCAGTTGTAGCTCTTTGCAATGACTTAGAAGTCCGCTTGTAGGAGTTAGACATACCACCCTTTCGAGATAACCCATGAGGATTTCTACTTCAAGATCACACTGGGCGACAAGGACCTCCTGATGATGGCATTCCTGGCATTTTCCACGCCGTTCCACCAGGCTTTGCATAGTGCAAGTAACGGTCTCCTTTCCAGCGGTGGTTGAGAATAAATGTTGCAAGTGCCCTGGGAGGGTGTAGCAGTTCACAGGTCTCCACACCAACTGGGGCCATGGGCTACACAACGGCATCCGGTGCTTTCTGCGGTCACACGATGCTGCAGCATCATCCTTCGCGCGAAGACTTGCCAGTATTTGCCCACCGAAATTTGCTGAAGTGGTCTGCCAACTTGGACCTGCACACCCCGTCGTGGACCGCTGTCAAGCGGGGGAGCCTCGATTTGGTTGACCTGGCGCTGGGTTGGCTGTGAGTCTGTAGGTAGAGTGCAGAGCCTTTTTCATCTTGATTTGTTTTAGCTTTGACTTCTGGGTGTGGTCGTCACGGTGGGTGCTTGTTTCTTTTCCGAGGAGATCCACCGCCCTGACGCCAGGGAAGCAGCCAGGCCACCAACAGCTCGCCCCTGGCTGTAAGTGCGATGGCGCACACTATGCCGACGAGAACTATTGCGTGGACTTAGACACAGACCAGGAGATTAATGTCATGCTTTTTCGACAACATCGCTCCAATCAGATATGTCTATGGCTTTATGCATGTATGCACATATGTACTTTGGTATGCATGTAAACATAGGTAGGTGAGTGGGTGGGTAGGTAGGCAGGTAGACAGGTAGCTAGGTAGGTAGGTAGGTAGGTAGGTAGGTAGGTAGGTCGGCAGGCAATTAGGTAGGTAGGTAGGTAGGTAGGTAGGTAGGTAGGTGTTCACATATGTATGTATGCATGCATGCACTAGTGACACTAGTCATGTACGCTCGTCCTCGTCGGCGTTGCCGCGTAACATTTAAGGTGGTGGTACGGTGGGTGGACAAAATCGTGAATGAGCCGCAGCAAGAAGAGCATGAC